TACCTTGCAAACACATGTTCCCGCACATGCTGGTTTTACAGTACATGCGTCATATTCTATAAACAATTAGTGGACCCCAAAACTAATTAGATTTTACGACCTGCTGGTTGTTTATTGACAATCACGCAACATTCAATAAACAGCTACGCCGTTTGTTCCACCACTGCTTGAAGGATATCTCGATTGCCTTACTAATTTTCCAGAAGGAGCGACATGATTTTTCAATGTTTGAACCACTGCGGGTTTTCCTTCAGCAATTTTGGGACAACGTCTTCATCTGCTAGCTTCGATGGGTTTTTACCTTGCACTAGTTTCTTTTCCGACTCCTCTTCTTTTCACTCATTCTTATTTCCAGATGCTGTTGGATTTGGAGATGACGTAGTGGTGTATGACACTGTCCTTGCGGCACCCGCAGTTGTTATCGTCACGGACTCCTCACTCACATGGATCCGCGAGTTGGATGTAAATTCATTCTTTTTACCTTTTGGGCAGAGCGTGTCTGATTCCTCTCCACTGGCCACGTTCGCACAATTGGTTCCCCTCGTTGACTGGAAGGCAATAAAGATTTTAACAGTCAAACGTTCGGCGTTTAAAACATCACAGTCAGTGTGAAATTTAAACTTTCTTGTTCACTTACATTAGCAAAGACCACTGCTTTACGCGAATCGGATTTGACGCAAAACTGGCAAACACGGCTAGTGCTTTTCAAACCCAGGCTGTTCGCTTTAACAGATGCAGTGACCCCTTACGACTCTCGGTTGATGACTGGAGGCGTGTGGTATAGAAGCTGTTTCTTACCGACTACGCCGCTGAAACAGATGGTGATCAACAGGAATTTCACGATATTTGATTTCAAATTTTCCGATTTGTAGTCCATTGAAATCCGCGGGCTTTCATATTGTACCACACATATGATGTTCACTGAATGTCAAAGATTAGTTACTTTTTTATGACAGTTCCCATGATGGTGAATTGTTAAAACGGTATCTCTTGCAAACCTGTAGAAGTAGTCTACGGTGAATATTGTTAGCATTTTCTAACGCTACGGGTTTTGTAGAACTAACCCTAAATGAATGTGTGGGTACGCGCAAGCATGGGAAATGATTTCTTTCAAAAGGTGTCTTTGGTGAGTTGAGAAATTCGGCTGCGAAGAAACGCAGAATTTTGTAACTTGCTGATTTTGCTAGAGCTCAGTAATATATTTTCTGTCTTCAGGCATAGTTGAAGGACCTTGTTTGACTTGAAGATGTTCGAGAATTCGAACAAGTGCTTCTGGAATGTTGTTATAAATCTCATCCCTGAATCCTTTATGTCAAAACAGAGTCAGCTACCTGGCAAAACTTCCAACCCCGTTGGCTTCGAGATGGAAGACTTCAACAAAAGGCTATTTCCGATATTTCGAATCATTTTACTTATGACGCTACATGTGATAATCTAGTATCCTACATTCAACTTTCAGGCCAGACAGAGCAGAGTATACAAGGGACAGCCGAAACCTCATCATGTGTTGGACCGTAATCTGCGATGAAGTCGATGGGTACTAATCCTGAAATCATCCCTCAGTGACGTCCGTTTACGATTAGAAAATTTCAGCACTCCTGCTCGGTAGTGGATGTCTCTGTTGCGTAGACCATGTACTAATCTTTAAATGTTTACACTTGAGAAAACATTTGATAAACCTCGAACGTGTCCACTAAAGTTAAATCGGTGCACCGACACCTGGCAGTACTTTTGAATTTATTTCAGTACAGCATGCTATGATTCAACCCATATTCTCACAACTACCAGCATTTGAAGAGGGATTCTGAAATATACCTACCTACATCATATTCTAGATGAGGCTCTTGGTCTATAGACATCAGGTTACGTTTTGGTGACGTCTCTATCAGTACCTTTTGGCCCTATCTATCGATGTAATTCGCTATTATTCATTCCGCATTGGTTGTTAAGCCAAATTGATAATGAAGACCTGTCCGATTCCCCTTGAACTCGCGTTCGAGCCGTTTTAATTTGCTCTATCGTAAGTTTAGCATTTCGTGTCCCACTTAGACGCACCGGTAGATCCAAATGTACATGCAGGTGCACATGGACCGAAGGACGGTGATTGGTCGGTCAAACGCTTTAAAAACGCTGTTCCTTTTTATTTTTCTACTTTCTGACGAATACTTGCCTAGGAAGAAGCTAGATTTGATATCACGTTCATACATACCGGTTGTTCAGGAATCTCTGCGACATATATTTCCGCACTCGTTGCTAGTACACTTGATGCTACATGATTCCACCTCGTGGCGTACGGCTAACAATTACTGCAATTGAGTAGCGAATTTTGTGCTGCGAACTCTACCGTCGGTGTGTTCTGACTTGGGAATGAAAGCACAACCGTTCACTNCGTTCACTTACATTAATATATCTGCACCCGTGCCTAACACAATTTATTTACTGATTACTCATGACCTGATGTGAAGACGTCGATGCAGTCGGTTGTGGTAATGAATACCACCTCCCATCGCTACCGGTTCCCCTTAAAGCACAATCAAGCTGCTGTCATGGCATCCCGACAATTTCACAAAAAGGGTCCAGTATATCAAATTTTAGAAGGATATACAAACCTTGTGATAAAACTTCCAGTTGTCTTCAAGGTGCTGTTATGTATCA